GGGGGGGGGGGGGGGCTGGCCCTCTCCAGGTGGGGTCTGGACCTTGGAACCTTGCCCTACTGGCTCCAGCGCCAGAGTGTGGCCGAGAGTGACCAGAGGCTCGAGCCTTCTTTACAAGTGCTGAGCCACACAGTCTGATTCTTCATGCAAATTCGAGAGGAACCCGGGGCCCCCATAACAGTCTTCTTCAGACACCGTAGGCCAGGAGGTGGCACAGGGTGGGTGCCATGCTGGGCTCCTTCCAGCACATGAAAGGAGGAATAGAAGGAAGAGAGCAAGAATCGCTTTTCTGACTGTGGTTCGGGTCCAGCTGGCAAGAGCCCAGGAAACACTGTTTTCCATCCTCTGGTGCCCTCAGACATCAGCCTTCTTGCCACATGTTCTGTGTTCTTCTGTTTTTGTTTTTTTTTTTTTTTTAAAAAACTCACATGAGTCAGGCCTACCTGGAAAAGCACTTGCCCTATGTGGGTAGGCCCAGAGCTCTCACTCCCCCCGCAGTGCCATGGCCCTTTGCCTGTCCCCCAGCCTGCTGCCACTTCCCCCTTAGGGCTGTTCATCTCTTCGTGGGCTTCACTCACAGCAGCCCATGACAGCAGGACCTTGTGCATCATCTTTGTGCTTTCTCTGCCTTACACCAAGAGGCCTGGTGTGTAAGATAGCCCCGGTGACTCAGTGACACAGTCCACTGCAGCAAATGGCAGGGTCAACTTCAGCAGCTCTTCCCCTCCCTCCCTCCCTTGATGTATTCTGCTTTCTCTTTCCCTTCTGCCCCCTGACTTCTCACCTGGGATTCTGTACTCCACCTTGGAGGGATCCTTGGGGATCCCCAGTGCCCTGCCCCCTCCAGGGCCCCCAGCTCAGCAGGTGCACGCCCACCTTTCAGCCTTGCCGCCTTCACCCTCGGTTTCTGCCCTTTGGCTTCACCAACAGAGCTGGCTGATCCTGACCTGACTGACCCCTCAGCCTCTCCCCGCTTTGCTCTTTTCTGCCTTGAAGATTGCGCTCATGCCATCTCTCCTGACCTTCCTTGCTCTAACTCGGCCAGGCCAACACCTTTTCCTAGACCCTCTCGGTACTCCAGGATGGCTCACCTGTGTTCCCAGCACCTTCGTGCCGCCTTCTTCTCAGAGGACCCACCTGGCTGCGCACCACGGTTCAGTTTGTGCTCTGAGAGGCCATAGCAAAGCCCCAGCACTTCCTACGAGCACCAAGGAAGGGTGGCGAAGGCGTATTTGGAAGTAGACAACCCTGGATACATCGCGGGCTCCGCTCGTTTCAAGCTGTATCCCGTGGGCTGTATCACTTCCTTTTCTCCAACTGTACACTATGATAATAATGATATCCACTGCAAAGGGTTATTGGGAAAATGAAAGGCAGGGCAGGTAAGCCGTCAGCAACCCACGTGGATGGCAGGGCAGGCTCTCCATGTGAGCCGCTCCCGTGACCAAGAAAAGGATTCCTGTAGATTGCTGGGGCAGGTCTCCAAACGAGAGCCCGAAAATTGCTGTTCCAAGAAAGAATTAGGAAGTGTCTTAGAAAACAACAAATTTTCCTTAAGTGTTTGATTCCCCCACCCCCACCCCCACCCCAGGAAAATGGAAAATTTGTCCAGAAATCAGGCAGCCAGCACAAGCCATGTTTTGTTTTGTTTGAAAGTGAAAACCCAAACATTTTAAAGGAAAACACGCATCTCTTTGAGGGCGGATCAGGTGAGGACTCGAGACTGTTAAACGGACCGGAGAGACTCAGAGTGGAAGTGTGCGACTCTGTGCGGCCGGAGGGCAGAGTCGGAGCCAGGACGCAACCTGCGGCGGCGGAACCCGCGCCACCTCTCCAGAGCGGTTAGGGCCCTGGACACCCGGAGCGCCCACCCGGGCGAGGGGGCTCTAGACGTTTCCAGCCTTTCCCAGACGAGCCTAGCCAAAGGCGCCCCCGAGAAACCCTGGAGCAGGTAGAAGGCAGCCAGTAGATGTTTTCATTCGCCCCCACTTGTGTGCGCTCAGCTGCACCCGAAGCCGACGCAGGAGGGTGGGTGTGACCCCCAGAGGGCCAGGGGCGGGCGCTCGCTTGCCCCACCCCACCCCTGAAGGCGCCCTTCCAGAGAGGCGAGGGCGGAAGCGAGCTGGCAGGGGGTCAAGCAGGAGGCGCTCTCCGCACGCCTCCCCTTCGGGGCTCGGACCTCAGTCTCCTCCTCCCTGCACTGGGCTTTCGGTCCCGCGCTGGGGCTCACAGATCCGCTGGCCACCGGCGCTCGCTCCCCCGGGAGCCGCCCCCGGGGTCTGGAAGCCGCCCAGCCGCACTCGGGCGGGACGCAAAGGGAGTGGGAGCGGCCGCGGCGAGAAGCCGAGTCCCGGGAGCGCCTACTGCCCACGCCGGCTGCGGCGGAGGGCCGTGGAGGGGCGGGCAGGGTCCGAGCGCAGCAGCCGGCGGCCGCTGCAGGAGGTCGGGCGGCCGGAGTGACCTCACTGGGAGGGGCCAGCGCGGGGCGAGGAGCGAGGCCGGAGCCCGGCCCGGCGGAGCGGAGCTGGGCGCAGCGCAGCAGGGCGCAGCGCAGCCGGAGAGCGCACGATGGAGCGGTACAAAGGTGAGGCGTAGGGACCGGCGCGACGCGCACCCCAGCCCCGCGCGGGTAGGGACGAAAAGGGTTGCTCACTGCCGCTCCGGGGAGCAGAGCCGCTGTGCCCACCCCGGCGACCTGGGACTCGGGGGACGCGGTGGCGATAGCGTGGGCGGGGCAGGTGGGCTCCTAGGCGGTAGCAGCGACCCCAGGTCCTTTGATCTCCGAATCCGCTGAATACGGGACTTGGTGTGTGGGGTCTCCGAGACTTTTCACCTGTGGGAGCGAGGGTGTGCCCGGGCCTCCACCACCGCCACTCTTAACCTGCCCGGAAAGAGGAGAGTCTCGAGTCCAGGACGCCCCAAGTCAGGGCGGCACCATGCCGCACTGCAGGGGACGAAGGGACAAGTTGTTGGGTAGGGTCGCTCGCGGACAGCAGGGTGGCGGGCTTCGTGCGGATGCGGACCCCGAAGGATCCTGCGTGGGGCAGAAAAGACTCGGCGCTGGGGCAGGCGGCTGCCCAGCTGGCTCAGTCGACCCCCCGACGCCCCGCAGCTCCTGCGGGCGTTTCTCTGCCAGCCCCCTCGGCTCCGGCCCCCCAAGCCGGGTGTGGTGTGGGTGTAGGAGGCCGGTGAGGTGCCCACAGGTGGAGCGCAGGCTCAGCTCATTGCGCAGCTGAGCCAGCTTTGGACTTGGCGGAGCCCGAGAATCCTGGCCGGATCCTGGCGTACCGGCCGGCCCGCAGAGGCTCTCGGAGAGCTGTCCTGAAGCTCGACGCTGAGGGCACCCCAAATCTCCCTTTCCTTTGGAAAAACTTCTTGTGCTCTTGTGCTGGCCTGGCCAAAATTGTCAGGAAATACTGCTTCTATGCTTGTTTTCCCTTGGGAGAGGGAAGAAATAAGGGGAATGATCAGATTCCCAAAGAAATCAGTGCTGCAAAGGTTTCTTATTTCTGAAAGTGACATGAAAGGACTTCTGGGACTGGCTTAGTTCTCTGAACGGGTTGGTTTCTTTTCAGTTTCCTTTTACTTATCCGGGTTATTTGGTTACCAGTGAGGGCTAAAGACCCAGATCCTAGCTAGGGCTTCACCTGTGAACGTAGGGTCGGAGCCTGCAACAGGTGCTGGCTGAGGTGGGCAGTAGGGTTCAATTCATGGCAACCTTCAGTTTCTTTCTGTGACCTTCCCTGAAGCCTCTTTCATATTTCTAACAGATGGGGTTTTGTCCCCAATTCTGCTGGGCTCAAGATGGGTTTTGTCTGAGTGGCCCAGTGTATCTCACAGCGTTTCAAGTTCTGGAGCAGCCACACTCCCTCTCCTCCAAGATGGCATTGCTGTTCCTTCAGATTTAGGCACCCCTACTGCTGAAAGGGACCCTGGGGGTAGGGATTCAGACCAAGTTGACAGAAGTATTGGCCTCTGACATCCTGTCAGCTCATAGAATTGTGAAGCTGGGGGATGGGTTGGCCCCAGACTGAGGGTCCTGGTTACAAACGAGTTTCTGAGCTCAGCAAATGATAACAGGTGGGATCTTCTCAAATGCTTACTTTTTTTTTTTTTTTTTTTTTAAAGACAGGGCCTCACCATGTACTGTATTTCAGGCTGGCTTTGAATTCATTATGTAGCCCAGGCAGTCCTCCTGCCTCAGCTTCTCTGAGTGCTAGGATGACAGGCATACACCACCTCATACCTACCTATTACTAGCAGGTTTCTCTGTTGATAGTTTCTGACTTGGCCCAGTAAAACGTCTTGATTTTTCTCTCCTCAGGAACTGAAAAGCCTCCCACCCTCAGAGAGGATCAGTTAAGAGTTTCTTGCCAGCTGAAAGAACTGTTTGTTTTGGAGAACACATGTATCTGCCTCATTATTTTGCAGTAAATCAGGCACACAGAGATAAGTGGATAAATTGAGGAATTATTTGGATTGCAGGGGCTAATCCAACTCATTTTCCACTATTTGACTCACAAGGGGAAATAATCTTTATTTCAGGTCTCATGTGGTGTCCTGCTTCAGTGTTTTTGTTTTACCTTTCAATGAGGAATTTGAGGCTCTCACCCTTCCTCAGGGATGCAGAATTCCTCCCTTCTTTAGAGAGGCGATGAGTTGTGCTCTGAAAACTCACTGGGTAGAAACCACAAAATGAAAATCTGTGCGAAAGGAAGGATCTCAGATGAACTGTGATCACTTGACTAGGACCTCTGGCTTGCCAGAGGTTAGAAAACGTCTGATTTTTTAAATCTAAGCTCAAATAGCTATGGACTAACTAGGCATGATGGCTCCGACAGTAAACTTAAATGGAAAAGCAAAGCTTACTTTGCTTCTTGGAACTCATGTAAAAAAAATTACGAAGTGCAATTCTTATGATAATGCCTCCTATATTTTTACATTCTTAATTTTGAGGTCTTTTTCTCCTGGATAAGTAGAACACCCACCACCGTCTTCAGATTCTTAAAAGGATTTCTCTGCTTTGTCAAGTATTTGGAAGGGTTGCTGGAGGAGGAATTTCTTTGCCATATTCCCCAGCCTACTTGTTACCCACTATGCATTCTCCAAAAATTAGGAGATTCTTTACATTTTCTGGCTCTGGCCTGACCTCCCATTGTCTTGCAGGACATAAAGAGAGGCCCAGAGCTCAGGCATCATTGAACTGTCACCCTATGTTTCATCCAGAAAAACTTCTGGACTTTCCTTAGTCTTTTCCAAACCTGTCTGCTAGATAGGAATGGCTTTCTCAAGCAGTAACAATGAGGGTGTGGCATATGTGGGTTCCCTTTCTAAAGGGATAGAGCTTTTATGAGTCACCTTAAAAGGTGCTGGTACTGTTGGTGTATCTTATATGTAACTCTCTTGGTGCTGTGTAAACAATAGGAACTGGGAGTGGTGCATACACCTGTAATCCCAGTGCTTGGGAGGCTGAGGCAGGAGGATTGCTGCAAGTTTGAGGCCAGCCTGGGCTACATAGTGAATCTAGGCCAGCCCAAACTACATAATAAGATCCTGTCTCAAAAAGGGGGGGGCAGGGGCAGTCTGGCTTTTATAAATGTCCCGGATGTGGAGCCACATCCTTCAGGGTGCCTTGAAAAAATTCCTGTCAATGAGTGTTTGCATATTTAGACTCTCTTAAGAGCATCCTCTGTTCCTGTACATGAGTCCATTGGCTGAACCCGTCTCATGTGGTCAAGGATTCTGGTTCCTATTGCTCTCCCAGCTGGTGAGTGGGTCCCTGGCCAAGTGTGACTGACCCACTATCTGTGGATTGCACTTGGAACATCATGCAGAAGCTTCCTGAAGTTGCGTCACACTTGGATCTGAACAGGCCTGGTGGAAATATTCAGACTTCACTTGGATCAGAGTAATTGGTTGACATTGCAATTCCTCTTTGCCTGTGTTTTCTGTGTTCTGAGTCTAATCGCTGCTTCCCTGCTTTGCTGTAGGGTGCTGGAGCTGGAGAGGAACTGTAACAATCAGACAGGCCAATGCACAAAGGCTCATCTGGAGCTTCAGAAATCTATGGTCAGGGGAGGTCCAAAAAGGAAAAACTGAGAGACGGGCAGACTTGGAACCTGCATGCCACCCTCTAGAACCATATGTTTCCGTGCCTGTAGGCCTCAGTTTTCCCTTATTGAAGTTTAGCCCAAGGTAGTGGCTCTTAACTTGAGCTGCACATGGACTCACCCAGGGCTCCTTAAGCACAGACAACGGCATGGGGGTGGTGTAAGGCCTCACCTGGCCTTCTGATTTGTTTAGGAGTGTGGCTTGGGCATGGTAGTTTCAAAGGTTCAGCAGGCGATCCTAACAGTAGCCACATTTGAGAACCATATGCTCTTTAAGAAATGAAATGCCAGGGCCGGGGAGATGGCTTAGTGGAATAAGCGCTTCCCTGGCAAGCGCAAGGGCCTGAGTTCAATCCCTGGTTCCGCAAAAAAAAAAAAAAAAAAAAAAAAAAAAATGAAATGCCTAAACTGAAAAAAAGTGTAGTTGTCCCTTGGTTCCCCAATCTGCAAAGATGCTTAATTGCTTGTATAAAATATTGTAATATTTGCATATGACTGTCACACATCCTGTTGTGCACTTTTAACCTTTTCCAGATTACTTGAAATAGCTAACACAATAGAAATAAGTTTGTATTATCCTGCACAGTTTAGAGAATAATGACAAGAAAAATGTCTGTGTGTACTACAGATGCAGCCACGGTCAGGTTAGCTACATAACACTGGAAGCAGCAACATAACATAATTTCCGCCACGTGTTTTTGAACCTTGATTGGTTGAATCAGAGGTCACTGGGGAGTGTGCACGGTAATGACATCAACATGTTTCTCACCTGGAAAAAAATGACAAACATGGGATGAAATGGATGCCCCTCATCCTCATAAGATGTGTCTGTGCCAGATTTTGCAACACCTGAAAAAATTAAATGTGATTTATCCTCAGCTGTTTTAGGCTTTAGAAGGCTGTGAGAATGGTGTTGAAAAACATCTGAATTGAGCTTTCGAGTCACTCCCAAGCTCAGGGTGTGCTCATTGTACTTGACCCTGGGCCCTCCTGACTGTTGAGCCCTTTGTCTGGCAGCCGAGACGCCATGGCAGTGCAGGGGTGTCAGACGGAGAGACTGAGAGGTCACTGTTGGTGCAAAAAGGCCCATGTATGGGAGTTCTGCTTTGGGCCCTGCCCCTCTCGAGGGGTAGGAGATCTGGGAACTGGACCAATTCCAGCACAATTAAAGAGCCAGGAGGGGCCAAGGAGCTTCAAAGTTGAGGAAGTTGTGCCCATTTTCTTCAGAATCCCTTTAATGACAGGAAATGTCTCTCCAAAGACTTCTGTCCTGTAGGGGAGGGAGACTTTTTCCCAAACCAAGGGAGGATGGCATGTTCAGTCAGGAAGGAGAGCAGCCATGGACAGTGGAGACAGCAGTGACACAGGAACCTGGAGACCCAAGTGCTCTGTGCCTTTGGTCAAACCAATGGGCACTGCAGGCCTCAGTTCCCCATCCAGAGCACGGTGCGAGTGTTCCCTGTGTGACTTTCCAAGCGCGCCTCCGTGCTAGCTGCTCTGTGCTCACTGAGGAATCTAGAGGGAGGATGTGTCTGAGGAGGAGAGCAAAGTGAGGGAGAGAGTGGGTCACCCCCGCAAGGGTCAGTTTAGGATTGTGATTCTTATAAATAAAACCCACTTCCTGTTGAGACCGGGAGAGTTGCAGACTTGGTGGGAAAGAGCATGCCATAGGCTGTGTGAGGAATTCATCTCTCAAGGACTTGTATGGAACTGTGTCTCCAAAGATTGTTTAACCCGGAACTATGTCTGTGTCTGAACCACTGAGAACTGCTCACCCCAGTTTGAGACAGGTCAACTGGATTTATGGAGATGAAGCCACAATCCAAAGAGCCCGAAATGGGATCCGATACTCTTCAGAGCTGAGTTTCTCAGAGGAGAATTCTTCCTCAGGAATTTGTTTAGAAGGAAGTGCTCAAGGCAGTAGGGCACTCAGTCCTTCTCAGAGCCCTTCAGCAAGAAAGGAACTAGCTGCTCACTTAAACTCTCCTCAGTGTTCGGGACCAAACCCACAAGTCTTTTCTTCCACAGAGTGTCCCCTGTGTCCTGGGTCCCCTCAATACTTCCCATATGGCCGCAGGTGTGCTGCGTTAATGGCACGTTGCCTTAGAATTCTGTGTCTATGTCTGTTTCACCTGCTTGGTTGAGCGCCTTCCGAAGCAGAGACTTTGTCTTTCCCTTCTGAGGGACCCTCCCAGCCCCCAGTCACCTAGTAGGGCCAGGAACATAATGGATGAATGGGAGACTAAATGACTCTCAGGCTCTGACTGCATACCCATGCCCCGGTCCTGAAGAGCAGACCAGGTTCAGAAAGAAATCTCAATGCCAGATCCTGAAAGTGGAGATGAGGGTCCTGGTGGCCGCCCTGGCTTCCTGGACTTGAGCCTTCTTTCTCTCTGTTCCAGCCCAGGGCTGTTGCTGTCTGGTGGTACAGAGAAGGATCCTGCAGGCCTCTGCCTGTGAGTATGAGCCTGCCGTGCCCTCCGCAGCAGCTCCCCTGGCCCCAGGCCCCGAGGATGCAGGCCTCGAGCTTAGCTGGGCCCACGCGGGGATGGAGGGCTGGGGAGAGAAGCGAGCCCTGTGCTGGCCTGGGCGCCCGGGGGTGGGGCTTCTAATCTGGCTTTTGCGACTAACTGGCTTTCAACGTTGGGCAGGTCGATCAATCTTTCTGGTCCTTGTTTGCTCCTCTGTGCCAGGGAGCATAAGGATTGCTAATTTGTCTCCCAGGATACATGGTCGAATAATTTGGAAGAGCTATTTGTAAATACTTTGGGAAAGCGAATGTTAAATGAACTCAGGGGGCGGATACCCTCAAACATCCGTGATGTGTGCCAGGTGGCAGTCCTTACAGTTCACTTGGGGGCCAGCTACTCCTACATGTGCTTTTCCAAGCTTTGGGGACCTCGAGTCATGGCTGCTCTATCAGTTCCCAGGCATCCCTGTTGCCCAGAGATAGCACCCCAGAACCCTCCTCTGCTGGCTGGAACAGAGCAAGCAGGGAAGTCCTCACTGCACAGCTCTGTCTGTGGAACCGCAGCCTGGTCCTGCCTGACTTCCTCTGATGTCTCAGATCACTGACATTGAGACCCTTACGTTCTATCTGTGGCTTTGAGCTCCTTGCAGGTTTTTAGCACTTGCTTCTCAGTTTCTCTTTAGTCGCAAAACAAACTAAGCCCAAACGTTGAGTAGAGGAGATGGAAAATACACTGGGTCAGTGAAGAGCTAGGGTTCACTGGACGCACTGGACGAGTGCAAAGGCAGAACGAGTCACGGCACCTTGATGTCCAGAGTCAGTATGGGACCAAGTATTAGAGAGGAGTGGGAACGGGGCACCCCACCAACTGAAACTGTGCTGTTTTCTAAACAGACCCCAGATTCCCTTCTCACTTCCTCAACGCGGTCTTCTAGGGACTTCTAGTGACAGCTGCAGGCCTGGTGGGGGCTGGTGAATCTCAGCACCAGCTGATCACAAATCAGCCTTGTGCAGGTTATTAAAGCAAGGAGGAGCTGCTAGCTGCAGAGCGCGCCCTGCTGTGCCCCAGGCAGCTTTCCCCAGTCAGGTGACCAGCTTTCCCCCCCATTTTGATGGGACTTGGCTGCATTAATCCCCGAAAGCCTCACATCCCAGGAATGCCTTTTGTCTTAAGCAAGCTGACAGGACGAGTTACCCTATTCCCAAACCTCAGCTTTACTGAATACCTCCAAATTAAGAATTTGGTTTCTCTACTGCAAAGGTGAGCTGGAGCCAAACATTTCGTCTCTCATGAGAAAATCTGAGGCTGAAAGATGAACAGATCATAGGAAACACTAAGGATAACACACGCCTCGATGCAGAGACCTGCACTGGCCTCACAGGCCGATGCGTGCTTCTGTGTACCTATCGTTCTAGAAAAGACAAAGCTATCTGAGGGGAAAGAGCACAACTAAGTGTCCTGGCTGCTGGGGCTAGGCTTCATGCACCACTGGGGGGTACAGGGGACACTTTGGGGATACGAGAAATGTCCTATAGCTTTACTGTGGCGGTAGTGGTTACCCAGCTACATGTATTTGTTAAAACTCAAACTATGTAGCTAACAGGGGAGCCCTGTTTTGTTTTTGCTGTTTTTTTTTTTTCCTCTCTGTGTAAATTATACATAAGTATACCTGCCTTGTAAGAACTCTCTGTCCGTCAGACACCGTGAAGCACGCTCATCACCCCAGCACTTGGGAAGCTAAGACAGGAGGATCATACGTTGGAGTCTAGATTGGGCTACACAGTGAGATGCCGCCTAAAAAGAAATCTAAAACCAGACATCCTGTCACAGTGTGATGCTGCACTGTAAGACAACGCCTTCATCCACCGTAAGGCCCATCATGGCAGGTTGTAAAGAAACGGTCTTTGTGTGGCTGCGTCTATAGTGGAGCTGGAGAGAGCCGAAGAGTGAAGGATTCTGGCACCAAACGGAAAGATAAGGACTCGTGCTTGGTGGTCCCCCAAATGTGAGAGGCTTTTCCAACACTACTGAAAACTATCCTTCCATGTAAAGAAAAGGAAGAGACATTCCCAGCAGCAGGTGGGCTCAGGGGATATCAAAGCAGTGGCTCTAGGTTCCCCCAGGAGTTCTGCTGCTCCCTGCACACGCATCGAATGTGTTGGCTTTGGCAGCCTGTCAGCAAGTCGTCTTGATCTTCAGGGAGGTGACTGGATGGAACTGAATGCTCAAGTCTGCACCATAATTACTTCCTCATTGACTCTAGTTGTTAGGAATCCTGCTTGTCTATCTGAGCTAGGATTGATTTTGAGGGGAAAGGGCCCATGAGGTATCCAATTGCTGCATCTAGTGCCGTCTGATGGAAGGGTTAGAAACCTCAACCCTCGTTGCACCAGAGCAGGGGATAGATAGGGTGTCCTCCAAGAATGAAGGCATATTACCTCTTGGTCCTCATGAAATCTCCTAAGATCTTAATGTTTCCTTTGTTTTTAGAAATCAAAACCCATATCCAAGTGGTCTGTTCTTCAGGTGAACTTTGCTGGGCTCTGTTCCTAGGAAGCTGGGTCTTCATGAGATATGGTGTGTTGGATGGCTTGGAACGTCCATTAGTTAGGAGTAGGTTATGGTCAGCTGTGAAGGTACACAGGAAGATTGCACACATGCAGCTCTTCTTAATCACACTTGGCCAAGCCACTGGTCACAAAGGTTCTTTTCTGCCCACCTGTCTGAGGATGTTTTGGAAGAGTTACAGAGAAATAGCTGGTACGGTCCTTAGCTTTGGTTGTCTTGACATTGTTGACAGGGCAGCGGTTGGAGATGCAGGAAGTGATTTTGCGTGCATTTGTAGTAAAATTACCTTGATGTAGGGTGGTGACCTGTAACCCACTGCCGCCATCTCCCAGGGCTACTCAGTGTGCTGTCATCCCTTTGGGTTTGGGGCACTGTCTTCGCCTTCCTGCGAGACCAGCAAGTGGGAATCTGGCCATTTCCTTCCACCCTCTCTCCCCCTACCCAGTTTTTACACAACAGGATTTATTCATGTCAACTGTATTCAAGTCCCCAGATGGGGGCAGAGAAAAGGATTGTGTTGAAAGAGCGTATTGTTTGGAGGTTTCACTGACTTCTTTTATTGAATGCCACAGTCCTAGACCATATTGAGCTGCTTTACTGAATTTCAAACGTGGTCTTTTCGGAAGAGACTCTGCTAGGGTTAGTGCTCCTGGTTGAGGGGCTGGTACCTTTTGGATGGCAGGTTTTTCTGTGGAACCTCAACTGCATCTTCAGGGTCTCGGTTCTCCTCAAGGATAAGTATGCTGGTACAAACCCAGACTTCCTGTGAGCCGCAGATGGTTACCACCGTACTGCTTTTTGCAATGCCAGCACCTCTGTGGCTTTCTCTACTAACTCTTTCTTTGAAAAAAATAAAGCTGTGCACCCCGCCAGGCACTACAGTTGGCAGAAGCCCCTGCGGCTTCCGCTTGGCTTGCTTCCTTCCTTTCCTTCTTTCTTCCTTTTTCCCTTTCCTTTTCCCCCTCTTCCCCTTCTGTTCTTCTCCTTGGCTCCTTTCAGCCCTCCCCTTCCTGACAGCAAGTGCAGGGGATTGAACCCAGGGCCTCCACACTGAGCTATATGTTTAGCTCTTTTTTATTCTGAGACAGGGTCTTGCTAATCATTAAGTTGCCCAAGCTGGGCCTGAATTTTCCATCCTCCTGCCTCAGCCTCCCAGAATGTCGGGATTAGAGGGGTGTACCACCACACCTGTTTCTTATTAAAGGGAGAAGAAATAAAGGGTGGCAAAGGGGCAAGTGTTGGGTAGAAGCACTCAGTATGAGCAGCCTCATGCCTGCTGATCTACTGCCTGGCACAGTATGGCTGCTCCTCGGCAGGCTCGGCAGAGTCAGTCCTTCTTCAACCTCACTCTACGCCCAGCCATCCTGGACTCCTACCGGCTGTCCAGGTGGCCTCCTGCATTCTCACAGGACTGCCCAGCAAGCTTATTTGTCACGGCTCACTCAGCCTGCTGCTGTGACCTCGGTGTGCTGTAGAGAGGGCCTCCCTCCTGCATGTGCTGCTGGCGTGGAGCCTGAGGTTCCCGAGGGAGAGAGCCAAGTGCAGTGGTCGGTCGCTGCATGGTGACGGGGGTCTGGGGGAGCTCCTGAGAGAACTCACAGGGGTACTTGATCTGGGCATGGCTCATGCCTCACTGCAGTCCATGGCAATCTGGCTCTGGCCTGGGACAAAGCAGGTCAGGCTGATCCTAAGACCACGTACACAGGAGAGTGTGCACTGCTTCGTTATGCCTGGTGGGTGCCCACAGACCCAATCTCTCTTTCTCTCTCCCTCACTCTCTCTCTCTCCCTCTCTCCATCCCTCTCTGTCCCTCTTTTTCTCCATCTCTCCTCCTCTGTCCCTCTGTGCTCTCTTCCACTGTCCCTCTCTCCTTCTCTCTCCCCCACCTACTCTCTCCCTCACCTCTGTCCCTCTTTCTGCCTCCCTCTTTTCTCTTTTGCTTCCTTTCCTTGTCCATCCCACTTGACTATCTCCCATGTCTTCCCTCTCTTTTTTCTACCCGTTCCATTTTGCAACGAGTCTTAAGCCCAGAAAAGATATTGGCACTGAGAATTTGAGGCCAGAAAAATCCCTTTGAAGAAGCACCCACCCTGCTGTCCTGTCTCCAAGTCTCTGGTAGTCAGTGTTAGGCTCTTATTTCAAGTTGAGTAGTCATAGACAGAGTTCCAGGCTTCTCCCAGGAAAGTTGCAGGAAGGCACGCAGGGCTTGTTCTCAACATTCTGCTCCTGCCTGCAAGAGGTGCCAAGAACTTCAGTACAGTTCTGCTGCTTGTCATGCCCATAGGCATTGCCTCCCATAGCCTGCTGCAAAGAATGCCATATTTTTGCAACCCTCAGGGCACGAGCCCTTGCTAACCTGGGACCCTGCCAGCCTCATCTGGCCTAGTGCAGGCGAGCATCACTGTGACTGGGACAGG